CTTAAATAGAACCTGTCTGAGAAAATTTAAACGGGCTAAAGGAGCTCGGAAAGCGACACACATTGCCTAAACCTAACTTACTTGAGAACAGATAGGAAACAAAGTCAGTGACATCTCAGTATGGAAAGGGTTACAAAGCCATTTCTAAGGCTTTGGGATTCCAGTGAAACAAGGTGATAGCCATTATCCACAAAGGGAGAAAACTTGGAACACTGGGGAAACTTCCCAGGACTGGCCGCCCTACAAAACTTACAACATGAACTCATTCGGGGCATAACAAAAGAACCAGCTTTATATCCTGTTACATCAAAAAAGAACATTATACCAACAGACAATGGTGATAGTGCGATGCTCTGTAGTTACTCACAGAGCAACTACAGAGCACAGAGCAACAGAGCAACTCCAGGTCTTTGCTGCTCTAGGACCTGGATTACTTCTTGTAATTAACGGAATCATGAATTCCTGAAGGAGAGGTTTGGATAGCTTTTGTCCCTTAAAAAAATGAAATCATGATCTAAAAATTGTAGTTTATATTTGCTCAGGTTACCCTTAAATGAAAATTATGAACACAAATGAATATTAAAATTTGCTTGATGATCTGAAATAAATGAGTGTGACAAATATGCAAAAATCCAAGAAATTAGGAAGGAGTCAAAAAAAAGAAATCACAGCACTGTTTAGGGAGGGAGGTACATTATATTGGCAAATGTATTTAGTCACCCATATCAATCACTGAATCCAGGTGGTCCAATCACTTCCAGGGCCTCTGGTGGGAAAAATCCAGTCACTAGGCACATAGAGTTCTTCTACAAACATTTGTGAAATAATGGGTTGCTCTCAGGGTTGCAAATATCTTATTAAACCTCATGGATTAAGCATGGGATGTAAATAATGTATAGTCAGAATTCATCAAACCATAATAACTTCATCCAAAAAAAAATATGTATATATTTATATATTTCTTTGGCTGTATGTTCATCAGATACAGAACGATCCCCAGGAATTTGCTCTCTACTGTCTTCATCAAAGTGGAGGTGGGTTCATCTTTTCCACAAGAAATGCAATAATTAGACATAGCACAAGAAAATGCTGCACCAATGTGGCACTTGTGTGCTTTGTCCAGAAAAAAGGAAGCTGAGTAACACAGACCAGCCGTTATGGGAGCGCACACTGCAGGGACCCTCTGATGACATCATGAAGATTTTTTTGATGGATGCAGATGAAGAGGAAGTTAGTGATGATGTGAGTGTAGTAGCCATGCCTTAACTTATGGTAACATAATGTTACCCTTTAAGTGTTTTAAGGTACCTTCATTTACTTCTAATAAGGAGTTTTCTGCTTTTTTATTTGTTGCAAACTATATGGTAACATATTTTTCTTTGCAGGTAGCTCAATATCTGAACTTAGAGCTTCCAATCCTTGAAAAAGTTTTACAGAAACTCAAAGACGAGGAGAACAGAGAGATACAAACGATTGAGAACAAGTTAGTATACAATTTTATTTGCTTAAACGCTCTTGAAATGCTTTCTCACAAGTGCAATTAAGTTTTGAAAATAGAGAATATAAATAAAGAGCCTAACGGTGCGTGTTTTACCACTTATGCATGACTACATCTTCCTTTACACCAGTCAAAAAGATGTGCATAACCAACATTCACCAGTATAAAAACTGTAGTAACGTTTGAGGTCAGGTGGTGGCGCCAATATTTAAACTTTCTCATTTACTTTTTGCTTATGGTGTCTGTATCTCT